TGGACGCTAACCGCCCGGGCGCGTTTGTGCTGAGCAGCGCGCCGCTGGCTGCGCTGCACAACATGGCCGAAATGAAGACGTCGCTGTTCCCGTACGCGCTGCAGGGCCCGGCAGGCTTCAAGGCGCCCGCGCTGGGAGGCCTTGGCACGCAGTTGCCGCTGGGCACCCCGCACGGCATCAGCCGCAGCGGGCGGCGGCCTCTTGGGCGGCCTGCCCCGCCTCAATGGGCTGGCCTCGTCGGCCGGCGTCTACTTTGGGCCCGCGGCCGCCGTGGCGCGCGGCTACCCCAAGCCTCTGGCCGAGTTGCCCGGGCGCCCGCCTATTTTCTGGCCCGGCGTGGTGCAGGGCTCACCCTGGAGGGACCCGCGCCTGGCCGGCTCGGGTAAGTGGCCCGCGCGGGGCTCTGCGTGGGGCGGGCTGGGCGCGCGGACCGCTCTCACCCGCCCTCCTTCGCAGCCCAAGCCGGCGGGGTGCTGGACAAGGACGGTAAGAAGAAACACTCGAGGCCGACCTTCTCTGGCCAGCAGATCTTCGCGCTGGAGAAGACCTTCGAGCAGACTAAGTACCTGGCGGGCCCAGAGCGCGCGCGGCTCGCCTACTCCCTGGGCATGACCGAGAGCCAGGTGAAGGTGAGCGCGCAGGCCAGGGGCGGCCTCCCTGGGGTCTTGCTGCGCGGAGGCAGATCCCGGCGCCCGCGTCCTGCGAAGGGTCGGCGAGCGGCCGTCCGGCCTCGGCCAACCCCGAGAGGCGCCGCTGCACGGGTGCGCGGTGCTGGCCACGGGCGGACGGCGGGGTCGGGCCGGGTCCGCCGGGGAGGCCAGCGTTGTAGAGGACTCGGAATTTCGGAGGCCCCTCTGACGGACCTCTCCCGCCCCCAGGTGTGGTTTCAGAACCGCAGGACCAAGTGGCGCAAGCGGCACGCGGCGGAGATGGCGTCGGCCAAGAAGAAGCAGGACTCCGACGCAGAGAAGCTGAAGGTGGGCGGCTCGGACGCGGAGGACGATGACGAGTACAACCGGCCCCTGGACCCCAACTCGGACGATGAGAAGATCACGCGGCTGCTCAAGAAGCACAAACCCTCGAACTTGGCGCTGGTCAGCCCATGCGGCGGCGCGGGGGACGCCTTGTGAGGGCGCGGCCGGCGCAGGACCAGACGCCCGCCGCCCGCGCCGCAGCGTGTATATATATTTTTACAAAATAAGTTATAAAGCGGCCCGGCTCCGGCTCGGCGTGCGGGGCCCGGCGGCGTCCCTTGGCGTGGGGCGGGGTTCGGGCCATCACTTTGTATAATCAATAAATTATTTAACACGTCCGGGTCGGAGCCGCGGCTCCCGAGGCTGCAGCGCGTGTTTCTTCCGTACCGAGCGCGGCGCTGCGGGCGGGCAGCAAGGGCCTCCGCGCCGCGTCCCGTCGGTCCTCCCCGCGAGGCGCGGGGCCTGGCACCGGCGGGCACGGTGGCGCGGATCGCGCCGGAGGCGGCAGCGCTCGGGAGCGTGGAGACAGCGAGGACGGGCGGGGACGCGGCCGACGCGCAGGGAGGGCGGCCCGGCCCGCGCACCCTCGGGCAGCTGGCTGCAAGGAAGGAGCCGCCGCGGAGGCCCCAGTGGAGCCAGACGGAAGCGCGGTGCTCGGCAGGTATGGACCCCCGCGGCCCGGAACAGGCCCAGGGTTGCAGTGCGCTCACGTGGATGAGGTTTGGGCCAACTGACCACACTTGGGTGTTCCCAAATAGCGAGTAAGCCGCGTGCCGTCCCCCCAACCGGACCCAGCACTGGAGCGGTTACTCTCTCCTTTTGCAGTTGAGGGGGGTGGGCTGGCCCTGTCCTTCCAGCAGCGGTCCTACTTTCAGACCAGGCTGGCTCTGCCTCATCCAAGGGTATTTTGAAATGATTATTTTTAAGTCTTTTAGCCAGAACGATAAATATTTTAATATGTCTACCAAATTCACCTCGTTTGAAATCAGGTTTGCAGTTCTTCCCTGTGGCCCTTGGGCTCCCATTGTAATAGGTTTTTCGTCTGCAGAAAGCACTATTTCATTCAAGCTAGGGCTGCACAGAGAAATCTGAAATAACTCTGCCCGAAGAAGGACAGCTCATAAATCTCCATGCAGAGCGACCCTGGGATGGCCTCCCAGGGCGGAGGGCTAGCTTCTCAGAGGGGCACAACTTGGAGGGACCTGGTGCAGCTCTTTCACAGGTCACAAGGAACGGCCCATGATCAGGGCTCCTGGTCAGAGCTGGACCCCATCAGCAAGGGCTGCATCCCAGTGGTTCCAACCCATGGGCACAGAGCCCTGGAGCCTACAGCTGACCTTTTCCTAGGCCAGTTTTCTTACCACAAAACCCATCCAGTGCTCTAAACAAGCTGCAGTTGTTACAAAAGCCCATCTGCTGGGTGCACACTCTCTAGATGCACCTCACTGGGCTCCCTGGGTCGCTGAGTTTTGACTTCATGTAAGTGTAAATGGTCCCATTTTTATGTTAATTACAACATTTCTCTTGGAAGGTGTTTTCAGAAATGTTTAAGGGAAGCGTGAAGGTGTAGGTTTTGCCTTTTGCCACTTGACACACCAAGGTTAAATCAATTCTTTTTAGCCCTGTCCCTTGTCCTTTAGGGAAGCCACGCTCTTTAAAAAGGGAAGCGGTTTCATTTCTGTGAGTTATCTGAGTACAAGGGAAGAGTAGAGTTTCCGGTTTTAAATTTTTAAGGAAAGCAAAGAATTCGTATAACCCAGTTATGATGTTGAAGGATTAAGTCTTTTTTTACTACTGTGAAAAGCCCAAAAGATTATTTCCTATTCCTAACTAATGACCCTGTGAAAATATGTGAGACTGAAGTTCCAATGGGTTGAGCTTAACAACAGGGCACAAAAGAGGCCCCTCCTGCCACTTTGCATTTCAGAGGTGATGGACAGGGGAAGGAAGGAGGACAAAGCCAGGGAGAACTGTTTTCACCATGATCAATTTTATTGCTTAGGAACCGAGCAGTCACTTCCAAAGGCCTTCCGAGTGAGAGTCACCGCCGCCGAAGCCCACAGACAGAACTGCTGCGTGGTGCCACGATGGCGTGTTGGTGAGCAGCGACGGCAGTACTCACAGACTGGCCCTTAGCGTGGAGAGCCTGGGTCCGAGCAGAGACCAAATCACTCGCGGTTGTAGTGGTGGTGATTGTGCAGACACCCACGTCGTCGACCTCACGCCGTGCCCAGTCCAGGAGCTGTAGTGTTCTGAAGTAGATAATATGCCAGCGCTGCGTCTCCACCCTGCAGTGGCCCCAGCCGTGCTCAGGCGGGGAGCAGAGGTGGCCACAGGGTGGGCACGCAGGCGCAGTGCGGCCCAGTGCTGCTTCTCTCCCGTGGTCTGTACAGCCCATGTTAGAAGCGATCTCTGTGGGAAGCGGACAAGGCTATTTCTAATTCTCCCACGAGATTATGGTTTAATGTAGAATATTGGCACCATAAAACGGTAACAAAGGACAGACAAAACAGTTTACAAAATCCTTAGAAGGTACACACAGGGTAGCAATAAACTTCACATTCAGTTCTTAATGTTACAGAAAAGGCAGAGGAGTGACAAATTGCTGGCCCAGCGGGTGCAGAGGCCTTGCTCCTGGCACTGCTGGTCACCTGTCTGCGTCCACACCCACTCCACACACCTTGGCCGCAGCTCTGCCCGCTGCTACGACGCACATTCATACTGAAGAGTGTATGTAGCATAAGTTTTGATAAGATTTATAAATTACTCTTAAAAAGTATATATTTATATGTATTTATATATATAAAAATGGGAAGCAGCTGCAGTGTGATTCGGACACCATGTAACATGGCAGTAGAGTCGGCCACGGAGCGGCCTGGGCCCGGGCAGGCACTGGAGGCCTCCTCCTGGCAGAGGGCACCGACACCGGGGGGGTTCCTAGGCAGGAGAAGCTCCTCCACAGACAATCATTAAAAATGGAAGATTTTGAAATCTAAAATACAGAACCTCTTTGCTATTAGAGTTTTGGCAACAGGATGTGACTTATTATTTTTTAAAAAAACCCAATGCTTCTACTTAATGTCACACAAACAGACACAACAGTGAGGTATGTGAGGCTTTCCCGGAGTGGTCCGGAGCTGAAGCGAAGTGTGGGCCGGCCATTGAGCAGGTGCTGCCTGGGCGGGTTTCTGATGCTGCTGCAGGAGTATTTCATACACTGCTACAGGGAGGTCTCACGGAGGGTCCCGTCGCTGCGTGGGCACCTCTTCCCTGAATTGGAGTCAGTAATTTGTTAAAGGTACAAACACACCAGGAAAAGCTGCAGAAAAGGAGAACTGAGGGAAGGAGGCATATTTACCACACGTCACTGCACGACACAACACTTGTGCACACGTGCATGAGGTTTACCTGCCCCGGGCGCCATGCGGAAGGCCAGGAACACGGGCTGCAGCGGGAGAGGAGGGTGTCAGTGCGCACGCGCCGCCACCTCCCACAGAACCTCGAGTCTCGGGGCAGCTGGGATGTGTCCTGAGCAGTTGTGTGCTCTGAGCACAGGCGGAGAGCTCAGAGAGGAGAGCCAGCTGGCCTGGGCCTGCAGCCTGGGTCCAGTCACAGGGCCCCACACAGCCCCTTTGCGTTCCAGACAGAAACCAGCATGAGCACTGGTTTACAGAACTGCTAAGTCGGCCTCAGGCCCGTGGGGAAGGAAAGTGTGTCCAGCCTCTGCCACGCTCTGTGGCCAAGGACCAGAGGACTCAACGTGCTCCCGAGTGTCCCTGAGGACTGCTGGGCTGCTCTGGGTTGGGGCACGAGTGGTCTGTGTGGACTGTGGCTATCCCTGAGTGCATGGGACCCACGGAACATGCACTTGCTGCTACTCTGCCTGGCGGGCCTGAGCCAGGTGTGAGGCCAGAAAATGTTGCAGGTCCTGGAGCAGCGGGAGAAGTGGCCTGGGCACACAGGAAGCTGCAGAACTAACTACTGCTTCTGGCAAGTGGAGAATGAGGTATCCTGTTTGCAACTAGCCTCCTCTGCTTTCTCCCTACCTGGCCATCTCTCTCTCAGCATTTTATTACGATTAAATAAAAACCCACCAACTCAGCCAGAAATAAGGAGATGGGAAACGCTGCCCACCCTCCAGTCCCCCAGCCTCCTGGCCCCTGAACCGCAGCACGGTGCACGTCACCTTATGGTCTCCCATGCAGACGTTGGGCCCGATGTGGTCATAGGTGACAACCTTCTCCTCGCTCTCAGACTGGAAGCAAACAGAGAGAGGGTGAAAGGGGCTTCGGGTATCCTGGGGGCAGAGGGGCAGGACACTGTTTGCTCTGCCCATCTGCGGAGCTCTGCAGGGTGGGAGCGTAACTGGGAGGGAGTGAGCGGCCAGCCCCTCCCACTAAGAAGAACCGTGCTCCTCAGACAGACGTGGCCTGGCGGTGTGGGGGCGTCAGGGCTCCCCCAGGCCTCCTCCTGGCCCACAGGTGGATGGGGCCTGGTCACCAGGGTGTCGGTGCTGCTCTGAAGGCCCTGCCTTGCCTAGGGCACCTGCTTCTGACGTTGCCGTCACCCACAGCCCTGTTTACCGCAGACACCAACTTCTCTCTGCTGCACAGAGCAGCGTGTGTGTGCTGGTAGACACTGTGGCACACCTCCTTCACCCAGCACCTGGGAGGCTGGCAGGTGCCCATGCTGCAGTTGTGGATGGTAGCAGGTTTGTTGATGGCAATCAGTCAGCTCTGATGGGGCTGGAGTTTTACATCCACAACTGAAGCATCCAAGACTATAAAGTTGAAACTGAATTATCTTTAATGCAGTAAGAAGCTTAAGGTCAGATTTACTTTCCAGCATGGTCATCTGCCAGAAAGCATAAAAACACAACCTCGGCACCGCACGCACCAGCACTGCCCATCTTTCAGGAGCCTGAGCCGCTGCCGCGGAAGTGGGGACACATTCATCAAACACAGCGTGGTGATTTGCAAAGGCAGCACAAGATTGTGGATTTTCAACTGCGTGATCTTTGGACAGATAAACAAATTACAGCGGGCGCAGGCAGACGCGGGCACACCTCACTGGCGTTCAGCTCCGCGGCTCCCAGGCAGCGCGCGGCTCCGTGTTTCAGGGCTCGGGAAGCAGAACAGAACATGATGACGAGGAACCAGAGCATGGCGTGATGGATGGCACCAGAGGCTGCTCACGGCACCATCTGCTCAGCTGTGATGCCTGCCGCCCACGGGCAGCCTGGGCGGGGGAGGCAGTGGGACTTCAGCCTCCAGACAGGGCCTCTGGGCACCATGGGCCTCGGTGGAGGCCAGAAGCAGAGCCCAGCTGCCCACAGTGA